CCTTTGTTCTAGTACTACCACCACCACAAAAACCTAAACACATCCAGGTAAGTGTTTTCTCTATTATTATTATTAAAGTTTCAAAGACTTGAAACATGTATTTACTAGTAATTCATTAGTCTGCTAATATGCAATAAAGATGGGATGAAGTAATTTACATTTCCTTTTTAAACCACTTCCAAAATTATGCACACATGTAAATTAGAGAGGAAATATCTTAATGTCTTCTAAGACCTGGAGAGAATTCCCACAAGTAATGAAGATGAAAAAATAGATGAAATGTTGATTACAAATCACTATTACCTATTAGAGCAGCTCTCCGGGCATCACTAGGAGGTAGTCTGAGTCATTTATGCACTTCATATAAAGACATAAAACTCAAAAAACCCTAATATTCTGTAATTCAAACTTGTAAACCTGAAGTACAAAGATAATCTGAATTATAAGTTTACAAAGGTGTTCCGCTACCCCATTAGTCTAAATTAGTACACTTTTAACGCAAAGAAATCTGAATTAAATGTCAGAGTCAACAAAATTCACGAAGCCAGAAGCAAGTTTAGTGCTCACAAGTTTATATTTTTAGGTTTGATAAAGATTCTTGTGTATTTTCTAAATACACAGACAAACAGTTTTGGAAGTTTACATACATGTCTTAGGACACTTATACTAGGTAGGTAAATTACATTTAAAAAAATTGGTCTTCGTAAAAGATCTTCCCAAAGAGCTTTTACAAACAGCAGGCAGAAGAAAGCGTTGTGTTTACAGTGTTTAAAATGCTGATTCTCCCATTTCATCTTGGCCTCAACCATCCCTCTCTCTTCAACCCAAAATCTTGTTCTCAATAGCCAGTGTACTCCAAGTAAGTACCCAATGTCCTACAATTCAGGGCTAGAAAACATCTAGTGTGCTTATCCCTAACACATTTTAAACTATCTAGAACGGTTCAACTTCACTTGAAAGCAGGGATACAGCAGGAAAAAAAATTTTCCACTTTAAATCCTAAAGTGACTACAAAAAAACACCTGTTAGTTCTAAGCACATATATTATGTACCATAGTTAAGTTTTAAGGATCTGGGTGACTGAACGGCACAAAAACTGGGGTTCACATCTAGTTCTTCACTTTAAAACCATCCTTTTAAAAATAAAAATGCCACAGCCAATTAATAGCATGTGCTACACTGAGGTCAGGTATCTTATTTATAGTCAAGTGACAAAACTGCTGAATTAGGAGGAAAAGAGTGATAAGGGTATTTGAGGAAGGAAAGATTAGACACTCAAATTCCTAATGTAGATAGTTTACAAGGAAAATAGGTCTCCATAGAGAAACTTCTTTAAAGCACTGAAATTCTACAAAAGTTGTTTAATGAGGCAGTTAATAGAGTCCCCTAAAGAGCATGGGCTTCATTCAGAATCAAATCTGGTCAAAACCCAGCTAGCTCTACCACTTAATAGCTGTGTTATATTGGGCAAGTTATATTATGCAGATTTCTTGGAGACTTTCTCTTCCATAAAATGGAGACAGTAGCACCTACCTTATCGGGAATTAGAGAAAATAATGTAAAGCTCAATGGCACATGTAGGCACTTAAAAAAAAAAAAAAAAAAAAAAAAGTAGCTTTTGGAATTTTCAGAAAAATAAATTCTTATGTCAACAAAATCCTAAAAATACACATAAAGCTTACTGCAGTTTTGAAATTTATGACTTTTTAAAACTCCTCTTCCATCACACTTTCCCCCATAGTATACTACTCCAGTCATCTTCAGGCCTTTTACACTTCATTGTATGAATATAGTTTCTCAATCCTGATCCTTTCATCTTGTCTCTTCCCCCTTTCCTCCTGGTTTGCATCTATTATTGAACGAATACGTAGTAGGCCTCTACTATGTGTACCGGTGTTTGCAGCACTTAGTGAATTCGCTCGTTCTATCTCCCTCTTCTCCATCAGGATGGCTCTACCAAAACCAGCTAGTGTTTTCCCCACCAAATTTCAAAGCTATTTATTAGTGTTCAGTTTCCCCTTCCTACAGTTTTTTAAGCTCTTAGTTGCTAGGGTGCTACAATTAGCAACATATCTAGTGAATATGAAAAATGAGGGCCAAGTAACAACGACAAAGCAGGGACCATATGGAAGTAACTGTCTCTGAGAATCCTAAGAAAGATTACATGATCTTAATTTATATGAGAGGGTCTGTTACTAGAGTAAATAGCAAAGAAAACAGTTTATATTTTTCCTCTTCATTGAAATTACAAGCTCTAAAATAGGTTTCATTTAAAATATAAGTTACAAGAGAAAAATTCAGCAAATGTGTAACACATAATTCTGCCAGGGCTCCACAGACAAAATTATGAGTATTCCATTGTCACCTCTGAGACCAATCTAAGTTCTTAGTATCTATCAACTTCCTGAAATTGTACTGTAAGTCAGAAAAAGAATATACTTAAAAAAAAAAAAAAAATAGAAACGTCCAGTAGTATACCTTAGTACTAAAACTATTTTTTAAAAAGACCTAGAAGGGAAAAGGCAGTCCCTCGAGATCATGAAACAAATAAGTTAGGCAGTCAGCAAGTAGAAAAATCTGTCAATTCTGTTTCTGGTAAAATGTTTACTTTAAGGAAGAAATTTTTATATAGGCTGAGGCTAATATATTCGAGTATAAACATTCCTTTGGATTACCTTTCTAAAAACAAACTTTTAAAGTATATTTCAGTTGACTAAAAATATAGCCAAATCTGTCACAACACAACATAAAAGGTAATGGACAATTATAGAATATTTTAAATTAACAGTAATAAGCCATCTACATCAAACTTTGTTTCCAACTAAAACCAAAACAAAATCACAACAATCCCGTAGTGTACCAAGTGTGTATTTCAATTTACTGTATGCAGTCTAACAAAAATTTGGTCATAATTTACCAGATATACATAAATGATTTAAGCAGTAAAAGAAAATTCAGTTTAAAGAGTGTAAGTTCATTATCTTGAGGAAAAGTAAAAGTACATTAAGAATGTAAAGCCAAGTCCAGTTTCTATGTAATAAGTGAACTGTAGTCTAATAAAGCAGATTTAGGTGATTTTCAGATATATATCTTTTCTCTTTAATATATATTTATATATAGACAGATCTACCAATTGTAAACTATGGTTTATTTTAAAGGAGGGGGATAAATGGGATGAAAGAAATCTTTATACTATACTTACATATTCACAAAGCAGAACATTTTAAGTTTAAAATACTTTTTCATTCATAGTATCTTTGCCCAACTAACGTCTACTTTGGACCCCACCAGAATGACATTATACTTGTTTGTCTAGAACACGGAGAATAAGATGTACTCTTCAGTCTTAAACAAAAATCAAACCAAACTATTCCCGTCAATTTTACAGTTACGTAGAAACTACAATAAAGTTTAGATGACAGAAGATGTATCTAAGCCTGTAACCGTACTTTTATCTTGATTCATCCTAGCAGAAACATCCATGTCTAACATGAAATCATTACACTACCGAAATCTGAGACAATGAGAAAGTTTGTCTCTTAAAAAAAAGTATCAACTTTGCAACTTTGATCAGATGGAGCACCAAATGATTATGTCTGTCAAAGTGTACCTTGCAATTTTTTCCACACAAATAGCCTAATTTAGTGACCTGATATAAAATAGGAAAATAGACTCAATTTCTATTAAAAGAAAGCTGAAAATAGGATATCCCTCCATCTTATATAATATACAATATGTTCCTGATAAATGTCATGCGTGTTAATATTGATTATGTGAAATGCTGCTGTCAGTTTAACAATCAGCTAATTCATCCGTCATCAGACTCAGTAAGTCTGACCATTTCAATTTAATATATCGCCCCTTGTACCCTAAAGAATTTAATTAACAGAGTAATTGTAAAGCCTCGCAATATTTTATTTGTAAGACTTTTGCAGACAGTTGAATCATGGTGACTACCAGAAAGACTATCTATGAAGATGTAGTAAAACTTTGAGGAATTGAAAAAGTATTTATCTATCATAATTTCAAAACGCTCAATATCCCAGTAAATATCAAACAAAAGAGAATGCACTTTTTATGTTATTTTTAATGATAAAAAGGGCACAGGAGTAAAAACCTGATGTTTCACTTATATTGCATAACAAGCTAACCAAACTGGACATGGAGGTCAAATTAGGAAACAAATAATTTTACTTATTGTTTCTATGACTTTTCTTTTGATTAGATTTCTGTCTTTTCAAATAGGACTGAGGTATAGTACACTGGCAAAAATATAAAGAGGCAAACAAGAATAGTGCCAAAGTAACAGATACCCAAAACCGAATACCATGTCAGAAAACGTCACGTAATAACCATTTATCAGATTAGAGCAGCAGGAGAAAGTTACTTCTAAATCATAATCATTTTAGTGGTATTTGTCAACTTCGCCACGTTAACTTTGCAACATCATTTCTTCATTTGTGAAGTAGTAAAATTCATGTCAAAAAGGAAAGGGGGAATGGAGGAAGTCAGTTCATTCCAATAAATTACCTCTCCAGTTCTTATAAACATGCCCATCAGCACAAAATTGAGAAATAATACCTAAACTAGAAGAGACTTGGTTTAAGTTATAAAGCAAATTAAAATGGAAAAATACAGGAAAGTAGAACCAATGGGGTTGAAAAGGCCCCTCACTGAAAATCTGTATTAAAAAAAAATAAAATTAATAAAAATAAAAATAGAAACAAAACTCTACTAGTACAAACTAGCCTGAGTGGTTTGATGGACAGAGTAATTGGGTCAGCTGTCACTGTAGTCTTATAAATGGATTTTCTTCATTCATGTTAAAGGACACATGAATGTAAGCTCTTTAAGGATAGGTACAATATATTCGTAGGACCCAAATAGTTACTGTATATCCTATAAATAAAAAATATTTTTACTTTGATAACTGACTGAAGGTGTGGGGACTCCATGTAATCCAACCACAAGGTTGTTTGCTGTACAGTCCTGTGCAAATATAAAAAAAAAAAAATTTTTTTTTTTTTGCTATAAGGCTTTTTGACCCTACAGTTTTCACAGCAACATAACTACCATCCAGCATGTACCATATTTTGCAAGCCTTCAAGTTCAACAATTCAAATTGTCGATTCATATTATGTCCAAATGCAGCATCCTTGAGGAGTATAGGTCAGTTAATCATCTAGAGACATACAAACATCTCCTGATTCATCCCACCGAGATGGATCATTCTGATCTTCTCCATCATCAACCAGCTCTTCATCAGCTTCTCCCACTTCATTCTCTTCATATTCTTCATCCCGAGGGAAATCTGTATCCTGTCCCTGATCTACACCTTCTTGCCCTCCTGGCTGTGATTTATCTGCACAGTCTACACAAACACCATAGCGTCGAGATCCATGTCTTATTCCAACACTGGCTGCTAACATGAAGATCTTCTTACACACCATACATTTGTATTTTTTATCCTTTTTATGCACCTAATTAAAGGGGGGAAAAATCCAATATAAGGACAATATAGACAATAATGTGTTTGAACCATTCAATTAAACCACCCATTTAACAGTAAGTGAATGTATGCTTTTGTTTTTCTATATGAAGTTCAGTTCATAAATCAATCTTTGTTTAAAGCAATTTATTTAACAACCAACCTTCCCTAAATTTCAGGTAACCGTGTTAATAAAATACCTTAAACTTCACTGACATAAATACATTTTATCTCAAAGACCAGTTATATATATTAAAGTTACTTACCAGGGAATGTCTTTTCACATGTTCTCTGCGAGTAAACAGTTTTCCACAAATATCACAGCTAAATGATCTGACTCCCGTATGAATGAGCAAATGCCTTTTTAGTGTTCGTCTGTATTTGGCTACATAGCTACAGTGAGGGCATTTTAACTTGTTCATGATTAGAGATGATTCACCTTTAAGAATTAAAAAGAACACACACACACACACAAAAGCAATTATATAGTAAATAAAATTTGCTATCAAAAGCTTGTCTATAGCTAAGAATAGGGATTATCATAGGACTACCAGTATCTTGATTTTTTAAAACCCAGGGCACGGAAGATTTTAATTGTGAAAAATCATTTTAAAATTCCCGTAGATGTTTAGTTGACTAATACTTGCCATTTTCCCAAGTTTCTTGTTTTGGCCAAGATTCCGGCAATAATCCATACTTGAAATCGTTTGAAGCACCTGGTATCAATCCATACTTGAAATCATTTGAAGTACCTGGCAGCAATCCATACTTGAAATCACTTGAAGGGCCAGGCATCAGGCCATACTTGAAATCATGTGAAGTACCTAATACAATTGAAAAGTGATTCTGATGTAATGATGGTAATGAAGATCTATTACCAAAATTTGAAGAAACCCAGAAAATAACTTTATTGTATCTTATGAGTATTATGACAGCTTATTATAAATAGCTAGATAAAAAATCTCTACATTATAGTCTGAAACAGAAATGTCTTCATACTTCATTATCATAATACCCTAATTGGCAAGCATCTTAAATAGGAGAACTAAAATTTAAAATACAACCATAGGGAGAGAAAAATTCGGTAAAATATATTTCAATAATATTTAACAGTGTATGGAGACCACATGAAACTACTCTTTTATGCTGAATTTCAAACATATTCAAGCTGAACTCTCTCTTAATTGTCACCCTATAGCAGAGCTTTGGGACAGGAGGGTAGTCCCCTGTCTCCAAAATAATCACATAATCTTGTTTTAAAACTTAACAGTATAGAAAAATGGACTAAGAATGAAAACTATAAATACTAGGAATTACAAATGCAAGGTTCTTGTTGTATTATACCCTTGCTTGTTGTTTCAGACACACTGGGCCCTCGTGGGGTTCACCAAAACCTCTTTCTAACTCCATCCTTAAATACATGAAAATTGAAAAGGTAGAATTAAAATAATCAATGTCCCTTAAGGAATCTGTACCTGAGGATCTTCAGACTAGCGAAGATAAAAATTACCTCCTCTGGATAGCATTCCCTCACCCCCCCCCTTTTTAAAAGATTTTATGTTTCAGTAATCTCTACACCCAAAAGTGAGGATCCAATTTACAGCCCTGAGATCAAGAGTCGCATGCTCCAGCATGAGCCAGCCACGCGCCCCCTGGATAGGATTCCTTCTTGAATATATATGTCTTTACCTGGATCCAGGAATCCTCTTGGCAATGTAAACATTCAGAATTCTCCATAGCTAGCTATTGCCACCCTGATCCAATCGACCATTAACTCTTGCCTGTGGATTATTTTCAATAGCCATCAGAGCCATCCCAGTTTGTAACTGTTGCCCTCTTACAGTTTGCTCTCAACACACCAATTAGAAATTGTTTCAGAACTTTTAAGTGAGAACCTGGCACTTAAAAGCCTTCAAGGACTACCCATCTCAAACATAAAAACACCTAAGACTGACAGTATGTTATACAGCCTTACCTAAATCTAGCCCTTTATCTAACCACCCCCTTGGGTCACTCTGCTTCAGGCATAATGGCCTTTGTACTGTTCCTTCATGGAAAAATGGCTCCCTCTGCAAGACCTTTGTACTCTTTCCTCTGCCTGAACACTCCTTTCCAGGCTATATGCTAGATTATTTGTGCAGTAATTTACTAATTTTCCTTCCATGAAAACTATGGATTTTATAAAGAATGCTTGCCAAAATAGGTTTTCTAAAAATTCATTTTCCTCCATCTATCTGCCAGATGCCCTACTTCTCTTAAAAATTAAAATAACTCAGTATTTCCTCTTTGGTGAAAAGTATCAATACCCAACAATGCAAACAGGTCCCTAAGGTATTTAAAAATTTCATTACTAATAATGTAAATTATTTTATACTTAGAATACCTTCACCCATTTTTTAAATGTTAGGAAAGCCTTCTGACTTTGTAATTATATAATTAAACTACAATCTGTTTTTGTCTGAGGGAAAGTTTTCAGAATCCTGAAGTGAGACACCCTATCTGTGGGTTGGGGGCCGGGCAGGGGATGGAAATTAGGACAGGGGTGGTAGCCTGTGAACACGAATCTATCAATTTTCAGCTTTACATTTCTAAACAAAGCTTGAGCTTTGACTCATAGCTCTTGATCAAATCAGTGCAAAAAAGTTAAGCTCTGAGAGCAAGGGCTGTGCCTGTTTTACTCACCTTTGTATTTCTAATGTCCAAAGTATACACCCCTTCAGTTATTTGTTGAGTATTACCTAGCAAATACTAACACGTATGTTTTTTTGACTTGCTCAAAATACTTGTAAAAAACTACTGCCAGAAATCAAGTTGGATATGTTAAGACCCTCAAGTTAGTATTATCATTACATATAAGAACAGAATAGCCCTAAAATAATTTATAGGGGGCACCTGGGTGGCTAAGTCAGTTAAACATCTACCTTTAGCTCAGGTCCATGTCAGAGTCCTGGGATCAAGCCCCACACATAAGACTCCCTTCTCAGTGGGGAGTCTGCTTCTCCCTCACCCCCTACCACTCCCCCTACTCATGCTTGCACTCAGATAAAAAAAAATCTTTAAAAAAATTAAAAATTGATAACCCAAAATTCAGAATTAGAAGTTCCTAATACTTGAAATTCTATGTTTCTCTGGGTAACCTATAGCATAGATTAATAAAAAGCATCCATGGTAACAGACAGGAGACAGCGTATCTAGAATACAAAATGGTAACGCAAAAAACCTCATCCCAAACTTCTTTCATCTGGCCAAATTCTTTAAACAGTAGAGGTTACTTATTTAGAAGTATATGAGCAGATTGACAAAGGTATTGCTTTTGTAATTCAATCACTGAAAGATCATTAAGGTCATTCAAGTTCTACTTGAAAATTGTGCTCACTGCTCAGTAGTATCCTTCAGGGTACGTTCTTCCAATAATGGCAAACTAAAAAGAAAGCCGCGTTCTTTTGAAGTCAAAATCAGAAGACAAAGGCTGGTCTCAGTTGCAAAAACAAAAATGGATCAAAATGTCCCCTAAAGAGAAATGACTCTAAATCAAGAGTTTACTTTTTTTGAAAAGGAGATAAATTATATGGACCACTCGCCACTGAAAATATTTATGTGGGGAAATGAAAATTGTGTATGAATTCACATACCCTGTCTAAACCCATTCTTCAACCAGATTTCTAAACCGAAAATAAAATACCTTGTACTACTCGTGATTTTTTGTATAAGGAAAAAGTCTTCAAAATTCAACCTATATGGATCTGTAAATGCCTCATTTCAAAAACTTTCTGTAAATTAGTTTCAACAATTAAGAGAAACCACCTTAAGGCCATTTCTTTCCTTCAAAATTACATGGCTTAACTATGGTCAGTGCATACTATATTCAGAAGCCTGTGAAAACGGAGTACCCCTAAGCTGCCCCCCTCCCCATCAATTTTTTAAAGAATTCCAAAGCTATGAGAAGTTTAATCTATGAACATCTATATCCCTTTGTGTATCTTTTGACAAATGTTAGTTTTGCCACATGGGCTTTCTATGAATCCACACACCTTTTATGTATTATTTGAAAATCTTTACATCATTGCTTCACCCCTCAATATAGCAACTATCTTCTAGAACTTTCTCCTACATAACCACATCTGAGAAATTTAAAATTGTCCATCATTTAATCCATATTATTCATTCAAATTCCCAACTTTTCCCCAAATGCCCCCTAGTCATTTTAGAACCCTGATGTCATCAAGACTGACAAGGCATTTAGTTGGTTTGCTCCAATCTAGTGGTTCCTCTGCTTGTTTTTCATGACCTTAACATTTTAAAATCCAGAGTAGCTGGATTTGTGTAGACCAGTCTGATGTTCTCCCCCCTCATGATTAGATTTGGGTTAAACCTTTTGGCAAGAATATTACGAGTGATGTCGTGTGGTGGCTAGTGCATTATGACAAGAGGCATGGTTTTTCCAATTTTTTTTATTATAAAGCAATCTTTCCCTCTTTGTAACTGAAGTAATCTATGAAATTATATGGGGACCATGTGAATATGCTATTACAACAGCCTTTTGCCCAATCATTGTGATAAGCCCATCAATAGTGGCTTAACATCCACAGATGATCTTGAATTATCTCCTGTGGGGTATTTTTTTCAATTGTCATTCTGTATTTATTAGCTTGGCATTCTTCTCTAAAGAAAGCTTTTTCTGTTCCCAATTTATTTATACTCATGTTGTTCTCTGGAATATCTACGGACTCTCTGCCTCTATGTGTAGGATACTCCCCCCAAAGTACAACTGAAAGAAATATTGCTATTTAGAATTAACATTTTCTATCTCCATTACCAACCATACTTTTATTTTACATCAATGTCAGTTAAATACATTAATCAACTATTTGGATAATGACCATTTTCATGCTACGTATATACTAGCAGAAAGTCACCAGCTCTATTAATTACTTGATATTTAAGAATTTTTAAAGCCCTAAATAAGTGGCTCCCTCAACCAATAATGAACACCCTTCCATTTGTATTATAAGGCTTCCAAAGTCTTATCATAAACACAGCTAACACAGGTTTAAGGTATTTACATTTATACTCTCCTTTAGGGGAAAGAAATTGCAACAGGTCCTTAATCATGTACACAAACACTTCCCCATCTTCAAATTCTCTTATAATATACTCTTACTAAAATCCTACTGTACCTACCAGCATCACCTCCATCCTGACTGGAGCCGGCTTCAGCCAATAAATTTGTGTTCACATTCCTATCACAATCTGGCCCTGAGAGTAGAGCACCATCCAGATCTGAAAAGGAGATGTAGAATAATCTGTTATTTACAACCACCCTATAGCCATCATGAACCACTCCTTTCTTGGTACCGTTTCTTATGGAGACTAAATAGAAAAATATCTGCAAGTTATAGTATCTACTATGTGTTTAATGCTATTAAGGCACAAAACCCTAAGACATGGTTTCAACCACAAGAACAAATGCACACTCAACAGTAAGAAGAGTGTACTGGGTAAGAATAAGCTTTAAGAGGCAGGGTGTATAGGTTACTGGCTATGTGAGGATATGCCTCAGCTTCCTGGTATATGTTTCCAACCACATCATAGATTTGATATAGAAATTAAATTAGGGGCATCTGGGTGGCTCAGTCGGCTGAGCCTGCCTGCTGCCTTTGCCGCAGGTCATGATCTCAGGCTCCTGGGATTGACTCCCACATTAGGCTCCCTGCTCAGCGGGGAGTTTGCTTCTCTTCTCCCTGCTGTACCCCCCTGCTAGTGCTCTCTTGCTCTCTCTCAAATAAGTAAATAAAATCTTTTAAAAGAGAGATTAATTAGATAATGCAAGTCAAGTGTTACAAATTAAGGAGTTTGGCACCCAATGACAGCTGCTACTGTTAGTATTAAGTACTAGATGTATAAAACATTACTGTTTTTGTATTGATTCAGAAGTGAAAAAGACAAATTAAAGCTAGAAGAGTAGACTTAAGAGAAGAACTAATTCCTTAATCTTGAAGTATGGAAAGGATGTGAGAGGCAGCTTAAAAGATATACTAATGAGATGAATACTTTTGGTTACAATCTTTTCTTTTGAATCTGTTCCATTCCTTCTGTTTCTCCACCACTGCCTTAATTCAGGTACCCATCACCATTCTCTTGGATTAGTGAATTACTGAAATAGTTTCTTGGTCTCCTTGCTTCAAAATACAATGCTAGTACTTATAGTCATCATGCCAGAAAGATTCTCCTAAAACATAAATCCTAAGTTGCTCCCTTAATTTAAAATCTTCAATGGTTCACCACAGCGTTTAGGCTTACCTTCAAACTCCGTAGTTTAGAATACAGGGTCCTAATATTCGTCGGGCTCCTACTAGTGCACCTAGCATCATCCCACTGGTACTATCTACTCCCCCAAATTGAAAGTATCTGAAGACAGGGCGCCTGGGCGGCTCAGTTGGTTAAGCGTCTGCCTTCAAATCAGGTTATGAACCCAGAATGTTGGGGTCAGTACCAGGTTGGGCTCCCTGCTCCACAGCGAGTACTCTTCTCCCTCCGCCCCTCCTCCCACTCGTCCTCTCAAATATATAAATAGAATCTTTAAAAAAGTATATGAAGACATTTTTAAAATGCCACTTTTTATGGACAATCTGTCCTCTGTCATAAGTCTCAAAAAAAAAAAAAAAAACCAAAGAAGAAAAAACACGCGAATTCCTTTTTACATATACAGCAGGTACTTGATTCAAAAAAACAATTGATGGTGGGCAAATAAAACCGTGGTACATTTATACAACAGAATACCACCCAGTAATGGTTCTAGTGCATAGTTACAAAACCCCAAAACACTAAATAGTTCTAGCTCTTATATTCTAATGGGCCAGTAGGATTACATAATTGCATAATTAAGGAGAGAAAGAACAGTATAAATGATCCTCAAGCAGGCATAATTAAGAGCACTACAGGCCATTGTAAAGATTTTGGCCTTTAATCTAAAACCAGTGAAAGGATTTTAAACAAAGTATTAATCTCATTTACCTTTTAAAAAGACTATGGCTGGTATTGTATGAATGATTAAAGGAGGTCAAAAGGAGATGCAGGGAGACTAGTTAGGAAGCTATTTTAGAAATCCAGATGAGAACCAGTAGTGGCCTTGACTTGGTTGATGGCAACAGCAAATGGAAGAAAGTAGTTGTGGAAGAAGAACTGACAGCTCTTGGTGAGACTGAATATGGGAGAGGCAGGGTTTGAAAGTAATGAGGGAAGCTTCCATCCTATACTAATACTAATGAAAGAGGACCAGTAGGGCGCCTGGGTGGCTCAGTGGGTTAAAGCCTCTGCCTTCCGCTCAGGTCATGATCCCAGAATCCTGGGATAGAGCCCCGCATCGGGCTCTCTGCTCAGCAGGGAGTCTGCTTCCTCCTCTCTCTGCCTGCCTCTCTGCCTACTTGTGATCTCTGTCAAATAAATAAATGAAATCTTAAAAAAAAGAAAAGAAAAAAAATTATAAAAGAAAAAGGACCAGTTTTAGGTAGTTATGAAGACACAGTCTGACACACCTAACAAAGAGGAGTTTATATGTTTGGAGTGGGAAAAGTAGGTTAAATGGGTAAACACTAGATACTACCTGGGACCAAGTCTCAGCTCTGTCATATCCCAGCTATGTGACAGTTGTGAAGCAGGTTATTTTGCTTTTTAAATGCAGTGGTCCTCAAAGTGTAGTTCCCAAATCTGCACCATGGGCATTATCCAGGAACTTGCTAGAAATGTAAAATTTCAGGCCCCATCCCAACCTACAGAATCAGATACTGTGGAAGTGGGGCCTAGAAATCTGCACTTTATAAAGCCTACTAAAGATTGAGAACTGTTTTATTATAAGAGTAGGGAAATTATCAGGGAAAGATCTATGCACTTTATATTTATTATTATCCAGGGACCAAATGATAATAAAGAAAAGCACTCAGCTCTACCTGGTATGTAACAAACACTCAAAATTTTAATTTTTTTTTTTTTTTCGTTTAAAGCTCCTAAGTGGAAAATTAGCACCAAAGGCTATACAGATATAATGCTTAAACTGGTGATAAAAATGAGTTGTTAGAATATGTGTGGTAAATAAGGCCATGGAATTAAACAGATGAGACTATGAGAAAAAAACTATGACCAGTATGTTGAGGAATCCTAGCATTTAAGAAACCAGAAAATGATACAGATTTTAAGGAAGGAGTTATTTCAAGAAGTAGTCCATCATAACAATGCTGCCAAAAATTTAAGCTAGGGACTGAAACATGCAATACTTTCATTCAACAAATGCTGAACACCTAGGAGGTCACTGGTGATCTCAGAACAAGTGACACTGGTACATCAGTGGGGCAAGGTGAAAAAACTTAGAGTGGCCTGTATTGTGAATAGAAGATGAAGAATTACATAATATAAACTGAGAAATTTGGTTGCAAGGGGTGAGACACAGAATAAGAGTATTTTTTTAAAAGGTGAAGTAATAAACATTTAAATGCTGAAATGAAATCACTAAGAAAGGGACAAGTTAAAAGTACTGAAGAAATTCAAAGAGAAGGATTCTGGAATCCTGAAGCAAATGTGTGGGTATTTTAGGAGACAGCAAAGACAATCAACATATAGAGAGAAGTTTGAAGACAGGTACTTAAGGACAGCATCTACCACCACCTTACAGGGAAAATAAAAGCTGAAGAGTTTTAAAAAGTGAGATTATTGCCTAGAGTAAATGGCTTGGAAGTCAGGAGAATGAAAAAGTACTTCAGGTGGAGAAGAGCAACAGCAAAGAGACTCCTTTACCTGTCCCGTGAGAGGAGGGGTACTCATTAGGTTTTATTTTCCCAGCACTCATCACAATGCATGACAAGACACTTTTTTTGTAAGATTTTTATTTATTTGATAAAAAGAGACAGAAGGAGGAAGAGCACAGAGGAAGAAACAGATGCCCTGCTGAGCAGAGAGCCTGACTCTAGCCTTGATCCCAGGACCCTGAGATCATGACCTGAAAACTGAAGGCAGAGCTTAATCAACTGAGCCACCCTGGCACCCTGACAAAATGCTTTTCAAATAAATGTTGGTTTGAATATTCTTCTCTCTGCAACCTCTATTAGTAGTTTAGTTTTAATTAATGGTATTTAAAGAATACTTTTTCAGTTTTCTGGTCTATAGTAACACTAAAATATAACCACAAACTGAAAATGATTAACTAAAATTTAGTGGCTTTATTTTCCTATGAAAAGCTGAATATATTTCCATAATAAATTTAAATCAATATTCAACAACTGTACTAGGTTTCCCAGTATCTTTTAAAAAACTAATTATTCCAGGTGCGCCTGGGTGGCTCAGCTGGTTAAGTATCTGCCTTTGTCTCAGGTTATTAATCTGAGAGTCCTGGGATTGAGCCCCACATCAGGCTCTCTGCTCAGCCGGGAGCCTGCTTCTCCTTCTGCATCTCTTCCAGCTCATGCTCTCTCTCTCAAGTAAAATCTTAGGGGGAAAAAAAAAGTCACTATTCTAGAGTGTACAGTCTGTTCAGAGGGCACTTCTTAAAATTCTGCGAAGTGGGTTTGTAAATACAGGCAGGGTGCTTCTATTTATGTAACATTCTATAGTGATTTGTTGAAGGCTTCCTCAGCTAGTTCTTAAAATAGACATTTCCTGTCTCCTAACCCTACCCCTTTAGTATCAGAATTTAATTTGTGATCTTTAATCCTATACTAAGCACGGAACACCTCAACCTGAAATGACAAATATATTCTTCCTTTGTACCGTGTTTTTCTCTCAAACTCTTTTGAAAGGTATCACTTAGTTATTGTATCAAAAACAAAGCTCAGAACAGTGAGCTCTTCTAGGTTGACAGTAACTTTCATAAATAGCACACTTAACTCAGGAACCAATACATCATATCACTGTTGTAGCTTATTTGAAATCAGCCAAACTGCCTAGAAACTCATTTTAATCAGCTGATGTTAAGTGGGATAGAAGTGAGGCAACCAACCATTCACTTGAAATAGAAATGAATTTTGCTTCCCTAGGAAGTGAAAGCAGTAACTCTTGGTCATCATCTTTTTCTCCAAATTATAGGATTAAAAAGTTAATTCTTCTATACTTGGTTTTTGACGTTCGTGACCTTTCTATGGAAAGAAATCCTTCACTTCATTTAAACTTAGCAAAAAGGGCTAAGATATCTCTGCTAACAACAAAAGACCTTCTGAAGAGCTATTAAAACAGTTTCAGGAGGTAACAATGATCTACCAAAGCTATGGACCTGGCACATACTAAGTAATAAACCC